GGCACACACACACACACACACACACACACACACACACACGTATATACAACTTCAGTGGCAGCACAGAGTGGAACACCCAGGAGGGCATCGAGAGCAGAGAAACAGAGAATAAAAGAGAGAGACAGAGGGTTGAATGATGACCCCTGAGCACCTTTAGAGGAAGTGCTTCACTCGCTCTCTTCCTCTTTTCAATAAAAGAACAAAAACTAACAGAAGCTTAATCCCTGCTTTCATCCCGCTCTCTGTCCTTCACTTTCTGTCACTTTCACTCTTTCTTTTCTCCCGTTGTGGGGAAAAAACTCATATAACACCAAAAAAATCAATCAATGTGTTTCTCTCTGTTATCATACAGTGTGAATGAATAAAATGAAGAGTTATGAAGAGCCCACCTGCACTAATTATAGCTATCAATTAACTTCCTTTCAATGAATATCAATTATCATAACCGCCACTGTTTTTTTCAAGGGGTCACATGATCAGATTTTAAGTCCCGGTCACATGATCAAATCTCCATTCAGGGGTTCCCAAAGGCTGATCTTTGCACCCTTGGAGTGTGCATGCATGTGGGTTCCTGTGTGTGCGTGTCTCCGTAGGGGGTGACTTTAATGAAGTGTCTTCCCTCATGCAAAGCAGACTCTCAAAGACAACCGTCTCATTTATAGACGTGCACCCGCACACACATACACACATAGCATGAGACCCTCACAGATCGTGAATAGCCAGTTCAGCTAGCCAGACCTGTCAGTCAAATTCCTCAGCCGTCAATCATAATGGGAGACAGACCCTCAGTCTCCAAAAACAAGACACTGACCGTGTGTGTGTGTGTGTGTGTGTGTGTGTGTGTGTGTGCGGCAAGGTCAGGCCAGACAGAGATAGATTGTCTGTCTGTTGAGGGCTCTATTCATTTTCATGTGTGGCACATGACAGCACCAATCACAGAGCCGCAGGATTTAAATGAAAATGCCAGGGAGACAGACAGGTATTTATAATATCAAAAATATTCAATACACACACACACACTTGTCTGCATGTAGCCGCAGTGATGGATTTCATCTTCATCCACTAGGGGTCAGTACAATCTTTCCAGCATGGACAACTATAGACAGACACCAACATCTGATAAATGGTTTTGTTTAGGTTTACTTGTGTCTATTAAGCTTGTAAAGATATTACAGATGCCAACGACTCAGAAATATATTAACATTGAATAAAATCAGTCAAAATTAATTCAAATACAATTAAACTATTAAAAATGACAGAAGGGTAATTCAATGAAATACTATCAAAGCTGGTGGCTGGGGTTTTTCTTTTGATGTGTTTTTATTTCTTTTAGGTAGCTTAGAGGGTATCAGCTTGGCTATTTTTGTTTGCTAGTTTGGCCTGGTCGAATTCTGAAGTCGATCTCTTCGTTTCTGAGTTTCTTTGTTATATGTAAATAAATCTATTTTCTGTTTGGCATTAACTCATCGTGAGTGAGCATCCTTTATTTATGTTTCGGCTGACGCTATATAATGTCTATATATATATATATGTTTGGCTGATTAATTTTCATTAATGCGGCATGACTTTCGGCCTGTATTTGTAACTGATTTGCTGAAAGGCTAAGTTTGCTCGAGTCACTATTAAGTTCCATCCACTGCGTCTAAGGCTGTTTTTGGGGGATGGGAAACCGAGAATGTTGTCCCGAGCCCTGTGACGAGGGGGGCCCACTGAAGTGCACTATGCTATAGCCTTCTTATTGGAAGAAGGGGCCCACCGATTAACATTTTGTCCTGGGCCCCGAGACTTTAAGTAACTGATTGGCAAAGCACTCTGCTTGGTCTTAAAGTTGCTGTTTTACATGGATGCTTGCCTTTTTTCTTTTGCACTGTGGCTAAGCAAAACAACACTGTTAAAACACGAAATGTTGTTTATATCCTAATTAGTTTGTGGCTGAATAAACCTGGATATTCTACAAAAATGAGTCTACCTTACCACGTAGTGCTCAACAAATAGAGAGAGGAAAAAAGGAAGGAAAGAGAGGGAAGAGTAAACTGATAGGGCAGAATGAGTGGAAAGTGAGAGGGAGAAACAGACAGATGGAGATGCCATCACATCCTTGAGCCTTTGATAGCAAACATTACATTACCGCCAGTATGACGAACCAGAAACAACACTATCTCACCAAATGCCACGATAAGCACGCAAACATCAGAGCTGGAAGTGTTTGGATTTGCTTGGACAGCATCAGAAACGGTTATTTCACTCAGACGGCGTGTGTAGAGATTTTAAGTTTGAGCCAGGGTGAAACTGTCCCAGATATGAGTCTCTCAATCTACTGCCAATTCGCAAGTTGATGAATTCTGCATTTGTACACCATCTTTCAAGGCTTTTATTTTTCTTTCTTCACATTCAATTTTTTTTTTCATTCCTTATCAGGTTCGCTTCAGTTATATTAATCACCTGATTTTTGCCAATTTGAGATTATTGACATTGGCTGATACACATTTTGCAATTTCTTTGTGTCAGTTCCAATTTTTTAATTGAATTTTGAGTAAATATTGTGTAGAATTTAAAGTTGCAATGACAATTCACCCTATTTTGAACATATAGATCTTATTGTGAACATGCATGTTTCAATGTTTTGTTTGTTTTGGACCTCATAATGTTTAAGCAAAATGTCATAACTGGATCTGCCGATGAAAACAAACTTCTCTAATAATTTACTCCGCTTAAACCTCATCCCTCTACAATTGACCACATTCATTTTTGAGTGCAAAATCCTCATCTTAAAGTCTAATTAACAACCGACAAATTTTTTGATAATGCATATCACTTTGATGTACGTCACGGTATGGACTTTAATATAATTTGTCATTTGTGAGTTTGTTCTTTCTATATGGTAGTTGGGCTCCGCTGAGACGCATTGATAAAAACACTGAAAATGCATTAGTACTCTGTGAGTGTGAATGTGTGCTTCACACTTTCTCTCTCTCTTTAACATCCAGTGGTGTTAGGGAGACCACCTGTCATCCATGAAAATGTCATGCACACACACACACACACACACACATTAGCAGATGTTAGAGGGATCTGTGAAGAAATGAGCACCGATCATTTGCTTTCCCCTGAGAGGCTCATTAGGGAGGTGTTTATGAACTGGAGGCATTCAGCACTCATCTTGTAAGCCTGGCTCTGAGGGCACACACTGCCCTCCTTCTCACACACACACACACACACACAAATGCAGACTGAAATATTGGTGAGGTGGGCATTCACCAGTCATATAAACTGGTTT